CTGCTTGTGTTCCCTCTCTCACTGTGTCTCTCTCTGTCAAATAAATAAATAAAATCTTAAAAAAAAAAAAAAAGAATGTAGAATGTAGAATGCAATACTGTAGACAGTACTGACCAAGAATAATAATAGCAAGGCTGAATTTGACAACCCATAAGTGCAAAGAGACATGTTGATAAAATCTCTCAGCCAATGAAAAGTAAAGAGAGTTCCATTTGTTAATATACAAGTGATATTTAAACACAGTTTAAGAAGACTTTCCTGGGAAACATGCGTAGAATCTTCTGTTTGAGGAAACCAATACACATTGTTATTAATCTCATGGAACTGGAATAAGTCAACACCGATGACATGGATTCAGCTCTGTGTAAATGGAGAACTCCCACATTCAGCCTGAGCAATGAGGAAGGTGTTCATTTCTCACATGGAAGGATGGAAGAGTACAGGGAGCAGAGGGTCAAAGTCCCATGTGCCTGTTAGCTATGCCATTATATCTCTTGTCCTGAAATCAAGATCCCTGATCTCAAATTACTGAGAAGATGGGTGTTTGCTCTACAAATGAGATATTTTTTCCTTTTTAAAATATTTTTAAGAACTAAGCTCTCTGCTCAATGTGGGGCTCAAACTTATGAAACTGAGATCAAGAGTTGAATGCTCCACTGACTGAGGCAGTCTGGCACCCACAAATGCTATCTTATATCTTCTACAGATATGATAAGAGCTAGAGAAGAGGGGAGTCAAAGTACCAGAGAAAATCAACCATGACAGCCCAGCCTAAATCAGTGGCCTGAGGAACACAGTGGGGTTGCTGGAAAACCCAAAGCTGTGGATTGCTGGTGATAGAATCCCATCCTTGATGGGGGAGATTTTGGAGATAGAAGTGGAAGTCAGGACCGCTAAGAAATAGAAGGAAAAGGTTGGTTTTTGGTTTGGGTACATGCCTGACTGACAGGCTATTCATCAGAACGATGGGCTGCAATCTGTTGCCCAACAAGCTCCCACATATTGGTCCATCTGTATGGTGACCCCAACCCTAGACTAGGGCATCTTTACTTGTACTTTCTTTTTTTTTTTTTTTAAGATTTTATTTATTTATTTGTCAGAGAGCACAAGCAGAGGGAGAAGAAGGCTCCCTGCTGAGCAAGGAGCCCAATGTGAGACTCGGTCCCAGGACCTTGGGATCATGACCTGACCCAAAGGCAGACACTTAACTGACTGAGCCACCTAGGCGTCCCCCTCTGTTGCATTTCTATGTCAGAAAGAGAAATTAGGAAAACAGTCCCATGTTCAATTCTTTCAAAAACAGTAAAATGCTGTGAATAAATGTAACCAAAGAAGTTGAAAGACCTGTGCTCTGAAAGCTGTAAGACATTTAATGAAGAAAATTGAAGATGGACATAGTAAATGGAAAGATAAACCTTTGTCATGCCTTATAAGTATTAATATTGTTTAAAAATGCTCAGACTTTGAAAAGCACTCTACATATTCAATGCAATCCATATTCTATACAATAGAAATAGTGTTTTTCAAAGAACTTTAGCAAAAAAGCAAAACCTCTAAAATTTACATGGAAACAGAAAACATTGCACCTAAACAAAGCAGTGTTGAGGAAACATATTCAAGTTGAAGATAAAACAACCCCAGATTTCAAACTGTACTACAAAACTAAAAAATCAAAACAGTATGGCATTGGCACAAAAACAGACACATAAACCAAGGAAACAGAATAGAGTCCAGGATTAAACCCATGTTTATATGGTCAAATTATCTACAAAAAAAAAGGAGTTGAGTATATACAATGGGGGAAAGACTGTCTCTTCAGGAACTAGTGTTAGGAAAATGAGACAGCTACTTGCAAAAGCATGAAACCACCTTATTACACCTTACACAAAAGTAAACTCTATGTGGATTCCATACCCAAGTGTAAGACTTGACACCCTATACTTCTTTTTTTTTTAAGATTTTATTTATTTATTTATTTGACAGAGTGGGAGAGGGAGAAGGCTTCCCGCCGAGCAGGGAGCCCGATGCGGGGCTCGATTCCAGGATCCAGGGCTCATGACCTGAGCCGAAGGCAGAGGCTTAATGACTGAGCCACCCAGCCGCCCCTGAAACTGTATACTTCTTAAGACAGAACAGAGGCATTAAACTCATGGACATCAGCCTTAGCTATATTTTTGTGGAATTATCTCTTCAGGCCAGGGAAACAAAAGGAAAAATATAAAATGGGGTAGAGGAACATAATAGACATTTTCCCAAAGAAGATATACAGATGGACACTAGGCACATGAAAAGCTGCTCAGTAACAATAATCATCAGGAAGTGCAAATCAAAACCACAATGAGATATCACCTCAAAGCAGCCAGATTGGCTGGTATCAAAAAGACAAGAAATAACAAGTGTTGGTGAGAATGTGGAGAAAAGGCAACTCATCTTTGCTGGTGGGAAGGTACTTTGGTGCAGCCACCGTGTGGGAAAGAGTATGGAGTTTGCACAAAACAGTAAACACAGAAGGACAGTATGGTCCTTAATTGCACTTCTGGGTGATTCACCTTAGAAAAAAACTAACACAAAAAGATACGTGCATGACCACATTCACTGTGGCATTAGTTACAGTACTCAACATATGGAAGCAACCCATGTGTCCATTGACAGATGAATGGATAATAAAGATGTGGTATTCACATACAAGGGACTGTTACTCAGCCATATAAAAAGGGTAAAGTCTTGCCATTTGTGACAACATGGATGGACCTAGAGGGTATTCTTCCGAGTAAATAAGACAGAAAGACAAACACCATATTTTATTTATATGTATAGTCTAAGTAGCAAAGTGAACAAGCAATAAAAGGAAAATGGAAACGGACTTAAAAGTATAGAGAACAAATTGGTGTTTACGAGATTGGAAGGGGATGGAGGGATAGGTGAAATAGATGAAGGGGATTAGTCAGTACAGAGTGACACTTTTTAAATAAGTCGTAGGGGTGGTGCCTAGGTGGATCAGTCGGTTAAACATCTGCCTCTTGATTTCAGCTCAGGTCATGATCTCAGGGTCATAAGATTGAGCCGCTCATCAGGCTGTGCACTCAGTGGAGATTCTGCTTGAAGATTCTCTCCCTCTGCCCTTCCCCCTCCCGAACTCTCTAGCTGTCTCTCAACATAATAAATAAATAAATCTTAAGTAAGTCACGGGAATGAAAAGTACAGCAGAGGGAATATGGTCAGTAATATTGTAGTAGTTTTTTATAGTGACATGTTAATTACACTTAGTGTGGTGAGCATTTTGTAATGTATATAATTGTTGAATCACTGTGTTTTACACCTGACGCTAATATTGATGGTCAATATACTTCCACAAAAGAAAAGAAAGAGAGAGAGAGAGAGAAAGAAAGAAAGAAAAAGAAAGAAAGAAAGAAAGAGAAAGGGAGAGAGAAAAGAAAGAAAAAGAAAAGCTCACACTCACCATCATCAATGAAATTGAACCCTAAAGTAAGAGCCCATCTTCCAGATTTCTCGTCACCCTCCAAATCCTTCCTCACGCTCGGCTGTTCTCCAGGGGCTGGGCAGCAGCCACACACACCATCCAACCTCCCAGTGGCAGTTGGGGCAGTCCAGGCAGGCTTCACCAAGGGCCTCTGTGCCTTCAGAACATCCCAGCAACCCTCAGTTGGGCCAGGTTCTGGAGAAGGGAACAGCATTTGGACATGTCCATTAGAAACATGACTCAGTTTTATTCGAGAAGGGTGATTTTGTCACTCACCTGGCTTCCAAGTCGGACTGTTCATTCATCCTCACCCACATTGCAAGTCTTTCTGTATTCCTCTTAACAGAGGTAGAGTGCGGGTGTATCTTGCCCAGGTCCTTTCTACTTTCCTTTTCTGATAATACTTATCTCCACATTAGTCTTCATCAATTTTGAAGTATTTCTGAGTAAACGGGCTGCCCTTCATACACTTTTCCTCTTACTGCCAAAGTCCCAAATCACTAGGGTCCTCAGAATTTTTCTTTGGTCACTTGTCCATTCTTCCTGATGAGCTTCATTTACATTTTGTGATGAGTATATGAATAGAAATCGACATATGGTCTATTTTCTTACCTTCAAACATCAGATCATTCTCAAGAAATTACATTATGCTACCAATTTTTGCAGTTTGTCCCAGTCAGGATAAAAGGAGTGCATCGAGGACTCAGCGGAATATTTTGCAGAATGAGTTACCCAGTGAAGAGAAAATAGTCGTATTTGCAAGAAATGATTCGTGTTCTGTTTTTGGAGAAAACCGGAAATTTCATAGCAGTGGAGATCAGACCCAAACCCAGGAGGGGCATTTGAGGTGAGTGACACTCCTGCAGGAGAAGGGGATCAGGGCAGATTGTGAGACTAACTTGAAATTAGAGAATAGCTGAAAACATACTTCAACAATTGTATGGTCGGAATTTTCATACAACGAAGCTTTTATGAATGCATTCTAGATCCTGATCATCTGAAAAACAGTTCAGTTGGAAACAATGGTGAGAAAAACTATTATCTGAGAAACCTAGAGTGTTATGACTATGTTTGAGTCCTCAGCCAGTGCATTAAGCTTGTTCCTCTTTGTTACCATGGAGACAGTGCCACAAACATGCCCATTCATTGAAAGTGGCCATTATGTAAATAAGCATTAATAAACATCAATAGGTCATTAATAAAGAGTTTGGTTATAATCATTATTCCCTAACAGTGTGCCTTCCTATTTTGAACAGACATCATTTGGTGGAGTGTGTCTGTGAAAGCAATGAAGGTAATCAATGTGGAGAAACCGTGAGGCAGATTACAAGTTTTGCTGTGCATGAGGATTGCCCTCCTGGAGAAAAATCCCATGAATGCACTAAGTGTAGAGAAGCCTTCGCAGATGGTTCTTTCCCTGAGAACCCAGGAAGATCTCATCCTGGACACAAACCTAGTCCCTGTGAGGAATGTGGGCCAGCCTGTAGCTGTGTCTTGAGCTTTAGCCCTCATGTTGGCGCAGACCTTGTAGGGAAACCCTATGAATGTCAGGACACTGGGAGAGGATTGAAGAGAGAATTGAAGAGTCTCAGTAGTAAAAAGTCTTTAGAGTGCAAGAAGTGTGGAAAAGCTTTCACTCACACCTCATCCTTTCAGGGTCATGTGCGAGGTCACTGTGGACAGAGAGTCCATGCGTGTGACATGTGTGGGAAAGCCTTTATGTATCACTCCTGTCTTACACGTCATGTGAGAACTCACACTGGAATGAAACCCAGTGATTGTACAGACTATGGGAAAGCCTACATTTGCCTCTCATACTCTCAAGATTACTCAAGTAATCAAACTGGGAAACGAATTTTTAGATGTGGGCAGTGTGGGAAAGCCTTCACTCGTCAGGCCTACCTTCTAGTGCATGTGAGGACACACACTGGAGAGAGACCCTATGAATGCCAGCAATGTGAGAAGACCTTCACAGATCATGGAAATCTGCGAGAACATGTGAGAACACACACTGGGGAGAGACCCTATGAATGTCAGGAGTGTGGGAAGACCTTCAAGTATAACTCAGGCCTGCGAGCACACATGAGGGCACACACTGGGGAGAGACCCTATAAATGTCAGCACTGTGGGAAAGCCTTCACTGGTCACTATTCCCTTCTAGTACATGTGAGAACACACACGGGGGACAGGCCCTATGAATGTGTGGAGTGTGGGAAAACTTTCCAGAAGTGTGAACATTTTAAACGTCACATGACCACGCACAGCACAGTGAAACCCTATGAATGTAAGGAGTGTGGCAGAGCCTTCCGGGATCGCACAGACCTGCGAATACATATGAGGACACACACTGGGGAAAGACCCTATGAGTGTCAGCAATGTGGGAAGACCTTCAGACATCTTGGAAATCTACGAGGACATGTGAGAACGCACACTGGGGAGAGACCGTATGAATGTCAGCAATGTGGGAAGACCTTCAGGTATAACTCAGACCTGCGAGAACACGTGAGGACACACACTGGGGAGAGACCCTATAAATGTCAGCAGTGTGGGAAAGCCTTCATTCGTCGCTACACCCTTCTAGTACATGTGAGAACACACACAGAGGGTGGACGCATGGAATGTAAAGAGTGTGGGAAGGCATACAAGTTTTCCTCATCCCTTCGAGTGCATATGAAGAAACACACTGGGGAGAGACATTCACTAGTCACCGCTCCTTTCAAGAACACGTGAGGATGTGCAGTGGACAGGATCCGTTTGAATCTAAGGACCCTGGTAAGATCTTCCAGTGTCCCGTAGACCTGCAAGTACGTGTGATGACACTCACTAGAGCAGAACCATATGAATGTCTGCACTATGAGAAAGCCTTCCATTGCCCCTCTTCTCTTCGAAGACACATGTGAAAAGCACAGTGATGTGAAACCCTATGAACTTAAGAACCATGGAAAAGCCTTCAGGTACCTCATCAATCTGGGAGCACAGACACGATGTGGGAAAGCATTTATTCTCCCTTAAAATCGTTTTTAAAATGCCACCCAGTACACTGGAGATGAACCTGAATGAACATAATTTTGGGAAGACTTCCAGTATAGAACTTCATATATTGTTCATGAAAATTCTGACGGGACAGAAACCGTTTCATTGTTATAAACATGGTTTTGTTTTGTTTTGTTTTGTTTTTTTTTTTAAACATGGTTTTGTTTTTGCAAGTGCCTCTTCCTTGATAGAGATGCGAAGTGTCTTAATTCCTAGTTCATGTCACTGATGTGAACACTAATGATGGTCAGTGTCCTTTGTCCTCTGCATCTCTACAACATATACTTTGTTATCTCAGACTTGGAGTAATCACATGGTTATGTGAAACATGTCTCTTTTCCATTACAATGTCTCTTAGACCCAGGGGTGATAAGAATGTGTCTGTTTGGGGTGGTGAGGATAATATAACTTTACATAATTTTAGAAAAAGATTTCTTGAATTATACATTCCAGATGTTCCTAGTGTATGATCGTGACACGAGACTTGTACTGTTGAAAGTTCTTTTATGTTGTCTGTTGCAGATACTGGAGTTTCCTGATTCTATATCACCTCTTTTCAGTCTTTATTATTGAAAGATATATTTTCAGGGCACCTGGGTGGTGCAGTTGGTTAAGCATCCAACTCTTTGGTTTCAGCTCAGGTTGTGATCTCAGGGTTGTGAGATCAAGCCCTGCATCAGCTCTGTGCTCAGCTCGGAGTCTGCTTGAGATTCTCTCTTCCTCCCCTTCTGCCTCTCCCCCCTCTAAAATAAATAAATCTTAAATAAAAAAAGAAAGATATATTTTCACTTCAGTTCTCTCTTTTTATTGAACAGTTGTTAAAATTCTCTTACTGGTTTATCTTATCTGGGACTAACTTTTGATGTCTGTGGTCTTTCTTCCAAATTGTGGCTTGGAAGAACATCCCTTTGCACTATATGTTTCAGGTTTGCCTGTTTATTTCCATGATCAGTGATTGTGCTAGAAATACCAGGGAGGTGCTTTCCTCTAGCCCCCAGGAGATCATGTCTGGAGTGCCCAATACCCTTAGCATTAGCCAGAACACCTGGCTAAAAGTTGGCATCTGGTTAATTTTGGACGGAGGAGCCTCTTCAGTTTTATCCACATTGGAGGTAAAAACCCATCATTGTTTCCACAATATAACAGTCCCGAGGTACCCGAAAGGCATACCAACTATTGGACTAAATGTTTGTAGTTTTACCCTTGGATAAGGTATATGGCCAAGTAAGAGTGTGTAACTCATCCTATTGGGTTGGCTGTCAAGGGGAAATGTACTGCTGCCTTAGGACCTTCAAAAGAATTTGCAGGGCGATTGGATGACTCAGTCGGTAGAGCGTGCAACTCTTGGTCTTGAGCCCCACACTGGGTATAGAGGTAACTTAAAAAAAAATATTATAAAATAAAATCATAAAGAGAATTTGAAATAGCATGCCCAAGTTGTTATTTACTATTTTCATCCTTTTTAAAAGACACATCAGTAAACTATGAAAACTCTTTATTGTTTAGAGGAGTGACATGTAAAATGCCATAGGAAGTCAAAACATGATGTGTCCACATTAAGCAGTCATGAGGGGTTTTGCCTGCATCCAAATGTCTGGTTTTAAGATCAGCTACCCTAAGTATTGATCTTGAGTTTGAGCAAACTGCAAAATTTGATACTTTCTGTCCCTTTAAGCCAAAAGTTTAACAGATAGATGGTGTCCTCCATTGAAGGGAAGCAGAGAATGAAATTATCTCCATATTGTAACAAAGTAGAAATGCAAAAAACTCTGTCACCCAGAGCAACCTTAGCGGTTTGTGAAAAGGAAGAAAATTCTCTGTGGGTCCCTGGGGCATGACTGTCCAGGGGTATTTCTGTGCTTCCAAGTGAAAGGAAAAACTGGCTACACTTACCAACTGGAATACTAAAAATGTACTGCATAGATGAATTACAGTGGAAAATTTGCTCTCAGTGGCAATGGATGTCAGCCCATTGGGTTAGGAACAACAGAGCGTGGAGGGATGAAAATGTTATTTATTGCTGAGAGGTCCTAGACAGATGTCCATTGTCAGCCATTGGGTTTTCTCAGGAGGGAAATGGTGTTACAAGGCATAGCGGAGGGGATCGTGAGACACTGAGGCTTTTAAACTTCTATCATGGTCTTGATGCCCTGAAGGGAATCTTTATTTATAGAGTATTGTTCTGCCAAGAGATTTTGAAAGATATAATTTTATCTTGATCGGAGGTACACTGTGGATTCTGCCAATATCAGCTGAACATGTTGCCCATAAAGAACAAGGTAGCTGATCCAATAGGAACCAACAACCAGTATTCCCAGGCTCTGCTATGGTGCCATCAGAGACCGAGGGTAGAAAAGAGGCCATGGGGTCGTGTACTTCCCCTGGTGGATTATTTTGATCACTGCTGCCAAATTCTGGAATTATTTGCCCGTTTGAGGGAATCAAATTCTGGCATGATACTTTTCTAAGAGATGTCAGGTGCACACACGAATAGAGGAGAAGTAACTAAGGAGAAGGTATCTCTCCAAGGGCCTAGACGAAAAGAATAGGCTGAGAGACAGGAACCTGTGGAGATTTTTAAGAGGCCCCCACTGTTGGAGCTGTTTTAGTCCTTGTGGGCAGGGGCTGCTTTCCATCAGGGAGTTGGCCACCAGGAGTGTAGTTCTGCTGTTAACAAGGACAGAGACTCATTCCCAATGCGGAGGTGGTTACATTAGCTGCTTACGAGGGAGGACTGGGAAGAGCCTCTGGAGTTCCCTGGAGTCCCATCATTGGGAATGAGGAGGACATTGGAACAGCCAGCTGGAAGGATGCAGGTGCCTGGAGTGCTTGTTTGTAACCAAATTTTTTTCACTGTCCTGGCTCTTTGCAATAATAGCAGAAAGTACAGGTTTTTAAAATCTCGTGTAGTGGGCTTTCATATGCCGTAAGTGAAAACTGGGAATTTATTGGTCTTTCATGTTGGTGACTCATCTAGGATGTGAAGAGCTTGTCTGTCAAATTACCTAAATCTGGTGTGGACATAGATTCCCATACACCCTGGTTCCTTTTACCTAAAAGAGAAAGAGCTCAGTTCTGCCCATAAATAGAGTTAAGTGCATTCAGTACCTAAAGTTCATCGAGAATTTTTTTTTTTTAGGATTTTATTTATTGAGAGAGAGCACAAGTGGGGGGGACAGGCAGAGGGAGAGGGAGATGCAGACTCCCCACTGAGCAGGGTGACTGATAAGGGACTCAATCCCAGGACCCTGGGTTCATGACCTGAGCCAAACACAGACACTTAGTTGACTAAGCCACCCATGCACCCCCAGAATTTTCTTTAAGGACAATTTGGAGTCCATTATGATCATCATGAAAGGGTCCATCAGGTTTTTGCGTGCAAGTCTGAATTTTGTTCCACTCGACAGGCTTAAGGAAAGATCCTACAATTGCTCAGTAGTATTTCCAGTGAGTGATATAGCATCCCTGCAGAAACATGGGTTTCTGTTTCCCTGATACTTTCTTTAATGTTCCTGTTGGGCCAGCTTCATCCAGTGTGTGTCTGGCCCTCACCAAGAAGCACATGAGCTAACTGGTATAAATCTGAGAAACCAGGTTGGTAAGTTTGAATAACAAATTCTTCAGCACACCTCTGGGGATACTTCATCACTTTGGGGAAAGTCTTGCTTGCAGTTCAGCCTTAGTCCAGGCAAGTTTATTAAACCCCAACCTTATTGGGGTTTATTAAGATCCCCATTGGGGTCCATTTTGATAGGTTCAGGAGAGGAAGGACTGGGGCGGGAAACAGAAAAAGGGAACTTTAGTGGGAGGATTCGAAAGAGGGTGGGGGGTACACAGGAGGCGGGGAGAAAGCAGAGGGAGGAGAGGGCACTGGAGGCCTGGTCTGCACATCATGTGGCTGCCACCTGTCTGGAGACAAGATAGGGGAGGGGAAAGTGGCTCAGAAGCCATTTTGACACCTTTCAATGGTTTGTTTACTTCTGTTAATTGATTTTTGCAGAGAGCAACTTAAGATCCTGATAATGTTTGGAAACCAAAATTCCCATTAAAATAGGCATCCCATTTGCTTTTGACAATTTTAGAGCCATGGCTATCCAATTTTGGTTCTGTAAGAGTCAGTTTGGGGAGATCAGAAGTCTCCAGTAATGGCCATTGATGTTCTAAGTTACTTCTGATAAAGTTAGTCCATTTAATTAGAAATGTGCATGAGGAGAGACTGTACTTTTTAAACATAAAACCAGAGGGGTGCCCTCAAAGCATTGTTATGACTGGGATCCCATTTCTTGGGTTCTTTAGAACAAAAAGAAATTCCTAAAAACCACTGCTTCAATAGGAACAGGCTGTTCCCAAAAGGGCTTGGTCCAAAGGCCAGCACAGTTCCTGGCAGGAACAGTCTGATTCCACGCTTTAGTTGGACCAAAGGCCAACACTCTTCCAACACGCAGTTTATGACACCAAGTAAGTAAACCTTAACTGTTGGTTATTTCACCAGCAAAAATGGGTTTATACAGAATAATAAGAATTGCAAATGAGGACATGCAAGAAATGGCAAATCCAGAGAACAAAAGAGAGGCCACTCTTTTGCAGGAAAGGGGAGAGTTGGGAGGGGTTACCGTCAAGACAAAGTCAATTTGGGGAAACTGGTCTTTTGAAGATGGCGGCTTCTCATTGTTAGAGCTGTGACCGTCTCTCATTGGCTGAGCTGTGACTGTCTCTCATTGGCTGAGCTCTGACCATCTCTCATTGGCTGAGCTCTGCCTCTCCTTGGTTGAGCTGTGACTGTCTCTCATTGG